TCAGGCTGTCTGGAAGTGTAGTGTCCCGGAAGTCTGTGATTGTTGTGGTCTTTCTGTAGTTTGTGACAGACTTGATTCCATGCCACATGCTGCGTGTGTTGTGGTTGAGATAGTAGCCTTCAAGTTTTTGGGAGTGAGCCCTCTTTGCTGCTTTGATGGACTTTTGCAGTTCGTACCAGGCTCTCTTATACTCCACGTGGTCTCCTGACTTGAAAGCCTCCTGTCTCTTCCTTAATTTCTGCTTTACATCTGTGTTAAACCAGGGTTTTTGTTGGGGGGTACTGTTTTGAGGGGTGCACAGATGGATGTGCACCAGCTGATGTAGTTGCTGACAGTTTCTGTGTAGTCATGGATGTCGTTAGTGGCCTCTTTGAAAGTGCTCCAGTCTGTGGCTTCTAAGCAGTTCTGCAGACTAGCTTGTCTGTCGTCAGTCCAGGTGTTAATGGTTTTTAATTGTGAAAGATTCTTGCTGTATTTTGATCCAGATCACAGCACCAGTCAAATGATTCTTGCTGTGCGAGGTGTCTTCAGGTAAGGAATGGAAGCAGCCAGTAGATTGTCGATTCGTTTTAATAGCAAAACGTCAAACAAAACAGGTACAACAATAAAGCAAAATAAACGACTGGAGAAGTACTGGAGAACGACTGGAAATCTCGTACAACAGTTGTTAATACGCAAATCCAAGAACTAAAACTTCCTAAGAATAAATTCTCAAGAACAACTTCCCAAGAATAACTTCTCATTTATCATTAGTTTATATTTAGCACAATGTCTGTTCTGCACTACCTATATACAGAAGTATGTAGACATACTTCAAGTTATTACTCATGGCCTACAAGCTGTGTACTTTGTACTGTGTACTCCGGTTGCCAAGCAACGATAATTAGCCAGACTCACTGTTTTCTTGTGTTTCTGTGCAATGGCAATAAAGAAAGTCTAATTCTAAGTTTAAAGTTTGTTGAATAACGCTTCGTCATTCATTACACATGCGGTCAGACGCTACATAGATGTCAGAAGTAAAACCGCCGAAGTTTTGATAATCTCCGCTAGCGCAGCTAGCCCGGACCTGGCTAATTCAGCCTGCAGCATAGCAGAACAGATAAAAAAGACCGGAGCCCGCCCGAAATTCAAAGAGGAGCCGATGGGCGATGCCTATGCCGGTATGTCAAGGCATGAGGCAGAGTTTAACCGTGCTTCAGAGCATGTTGTCCACATAAGACAGTCGGCTAGGAAGCTGGCTAAAGAGGCTGGCCTCGGCTCGTGGAGTACGGAGCAGCGTGCCGGCGGGACAATGCCCACGGTGAGCGCCACAGAGCTGAATGTAAGCAGAGATGGTGGAGCCCAATGTAACCAAGTTCAAGTAAAGATGCCGAAATACTCCGGCGGATACTAATACTAATACTAAGGTGGACTGGGAGCCCTTCCACACCCAATTTGAACTCTTAGTACGGGCTGCAGGCTGGTCAGAGGACATTAAAGCACTTCAGCTGGCCCTGTGCCTTACAGATGAAGCTTTGACATTCTTGCTGCTGCTTTGCCCGGCCGAAAGAGAGTGCTTTGGAGCTTTAGTGGGTGCTTTGCAGTGCCAGTTTGGACAATGCAACCAGCCTGGTGTTCTGCGCTCAGAACTGTCAAACTGGAAGAGCTGGGGAGCTGCTCCGTGTGTTGGCTAATGACATTGAAACCCTGGCAAGGAGAGCGTATGCCCACATGTCCCCTGACATGCAGAATGAACTGGCTGCGCATACAGACACAACTAGCGCACCCCCATAATCTACAGGAGTCGCTGGAGTTGGCCTTGGAGAGAGAGATTGTTGGAGAGACCACAAGCAATGACAGCAGTGGCAACCCTGTAGTGAGGACGACGGTGCAGGAGGGCCCAGATCAAGCGAAATCGGCATGGGCAGATGAACTGACTGAATTAATTCATGCGGCGTCACTGCAACCGCAGCGCAGCAGCAACCGTCCCCACCGAGGCCCTCCTGTGTGTTGGGCGTGTGGTTAGTCCGGCCATATCAGCGTGAGGTGCCCCAAGCAGGCTGGTGTCCAGGGAAACGCCAGGGAGTTTGTTTAGATGGGACAACACAGACCCCTTCCCCTGTGTCCCACCATGCTCTTTTGCCCCGGGACGGAGCCCAGCGTTACAGACGAGGGAGCGGGGCTCCACTCAGAAGCAGATGACATCACCGAGGCTGCAAGAGTGGTGGGCTGGACCCAGATAGGGGATTTCTGCCACGTCCCTATCACCCTGGCAGAGGCCCCATGTGTAGCCCTCGTTGACACCGGCTCCACGGCAACACTGATGAGACCCGAACTCCTCAAGACCCGAACTCCTCAAGACCGAACTCAGCTGTTCACATACACCTCAAGGACAAAACACACTCCTTCAAGGACAACAACCTTTGTCAACCTGGAAAAAACACCACTCAACAGAGGAGACACACCCTATCACCCACAAGGTATGTGTTACGTTTGAATGCAAGTTACTTGACATGGTCTATGGATGTACTTTTGCACTAACAAATATAGTGATCATTTTATCAACCATATTTTATCTCAATGCCGTTGTGGCAAGCTCCTTCTTCTTTAATGGGCAGTTTAAAAGTCTCCATAAGGTGATGTACCTATTAAGAAAGTAACTCATTTCTTTTGATGTAGGGTCCTAACTCATCTTTATTAACGTACATATTTCTATATTATCTGTTACAGATGAAGTTCCCAGCAGAGAGTGTTTGGCTGTGTCCTGTGAATGTTACTGCACATTGGATTCTTGTGGTCTGTTTCCAAAATATTTGTTTTCTGATGACTCAGTACTTTGACAGATTTAAAAATGAAGTCTCGGCTGGAACAAATTAAGCAGGCTGTGCAAGACTGTAGAGTAACCATCAAGTATACAGGGAGTGCAGAATTATTAGGCAAATGAGTATTTTGACCACATCATCCTCTTTATGCACGTTGTCTTACTCCAAGCTGTATAGGCTCGAAAGCCCACTACCAATTAAGCATATCAGGTGATGTGCATCTTTGTAATGAGTAAT